GACGACACCCGCTTCACTCATATCAAGCCCGCCGACCGCTTTCATGCTCTATTCGGTCCCGACATACGATATATTCGCGAGACTCTACGCGACGCAAGGACGCGATGGAGCATGGCCGATGACGATTGGAAGTCCAACATCCGAGCGATCCCAGACACGAAGGATGGACTCTGGGACAAGGTCACGACGACCTTCAAGCTCAAACCCGCACGCACTCGGCGACAGGTCGTCGAGATGCACCAGGCTGGTCTCATCGATGTAGAAACTAATCCTCCGCTGCTGTATGCGTCTGGCATTGATTCAGAGGGCGATGACGATGACGTTGTGATGGTTGAGGCCCCATAGGTATATAACATACTACTCTGATACTCTCTGTACTTGCTCTGTACGAATATATATTCGTTTTGTCTTTTATCTGATGTGCGATACCTTAGCTATTATAATAATACAGAGTTCAACCGATCGAGTGAGGACAGAGCTTGAGCAGGGAGCAGGGAGCAGAGGACGAAGCCAAAAACACACAACGCTCACAGCTCAATAAATCCATAGCGAGCTTGAGCAGGGAGCAGGGAGCAGAGGACGAAGCCGAAAACACACAACGCGCACAGCTCGCGACGACGATGGCATATCTGTATTGAAACATATATACTAATGAAACATGTGTACGAATTAAAACTAGCTATCGAGTGAGGACAGAGCTTGAGAGCTAATGATGATAATACAGAGTTCAACCGATTGAGTGAGGACAGAGCTTGAGAGCGAATGATAATATTAATACAGAGCTCAACTATGTAAGAACAGACTCTAGAGCTTCAGTGTCTGATGGGTAATACATGGGCATAAGTCGTCTATCCTTCAAAGTCTGTATAGTATCAATGTTCTTGAGACGAATCATCTCGTCCAGGAAGAAATTGTATTTGATGGGCAGCATCTCCTTCAAGATAGAGTGATAGCTGCCCAACCAAACGTTCGTCTGCTCGGCGACTGACGTATTAAACCACCACCCTTTACCATCTTCGCGCATGAGCTCGGGATAGCTCGCCGGATTACAGTACTTCTGACAAAAATCGTGAGTGGTCTTGTGTTTCGTGACAAGGTGCCACGGATCAACGACCATATGGACGTCATCCCACCAGTCGTCGTCGAGGTTCATGGCTTGCTGCTTGGCCTCGCAAGCCGTGTCGTAGATGAACATCTCGGGCTTTCGTGCGCCAGGTACGCTGAACGATGTCTTCGTCATTTTCTGCCGATGAGATCAGTGTTTTACCGTTCATAAAATATATTAAAATCCTTACCAGTACGTTCGAGACTGCTTCAGCTCCGAACATCGTAGCACGCTGTAGGATAATGCCACACGGGCGAATGAGTGTAACCTCACACGCGGTACGACGACGAGCAAGAAGGATCCTCTGTCGTTTCGGTGTCTTGCTGGGGCACAAGGCTGGCGCGCTGGCTGGTTTTATTTGACGATCAGGGCGATCAGCGTCAGCGTCAGAGACGCCTACGTTGACCGGATGGCTGTCGACGCGCTGAGTGACGCGATTGAGCGCGTCGACCTCATACCAGACAAGGGCGTCGTCGTCGGTTTCAGCGTCGAAGTCAGGAGCTGATATCCTGCTTCGTGTGAGGCGGCTAGTTAGTACGAACATAGACTGTCCGCGCTGGACAGTCTTTCTCTCCATCTCGACGTGCGTCTCGTCATCGCACGTCATCTTCGTGTTGTCAGTGGGTACTATCTTCCTGACGCAATTCTCCACGGCGCATTGGTCGGCGCAGAGCTTAGCGCAGCCTGGGCACCAGTGATTCCGGATTTTATCGAGCGACTTCGTGCACCGGAAGGTTTTGCAGCACGGGTGTCCGATTGTGAGCCCGTCACTGACGACGGGCTGGCAGCTTTCTGTAGGGACCATGTAAGCATTTGTACGAGTGAGACCATAAAACGAAAGACTCACTCCATATTATTTTACCTGTTCCCTCTTCTTTCTCCTCGTATATGCGCATGCACCCTTTGCAGTGGTGCTGTATTTCGCGCTGGCCAAGCGCGATGATGCGTAGGTTCCGATCGTGCATAGCTGCGTTGAAGCGTACGCGCTGTTCGCCGGTGTGAGGCACTCGGAGCAGGCGACGGTGGGCTCGGGCGTCGCGAATAAGAGCGAGGATGACGAAGGCTGACCAGACGTGGTCACCTCTGAGCCTAGGAGAGAACGGTAGCCGCGTTAAGGAGTACGGTAGCTTGGGCCTGGTGTAATAGCAGCCCTCGATGTCAGCTAGCGAGCGAGCAAAGGTCTGCTCGTATAACTTTGCAAGACCTGCAGCGGAAGAGCTATACAGAATTAGAGTACTAGTATCAGCAGAGCGGCAGGCTGGACTCACGAATTTATCATCATATCCTGCGTCCACATATGTGCGAGCCTGAGATCTACGTAATGATGTTCACCGACTTGGATCCTGCGAGGAAGCTTCGAGTAGTAATATCGGTATGGTTTACCGTCCTTGACGCGGACGCGCGGTACGTGGTAGTTGTTGCGGTAGTTTGTACCGCAGCCTACGTAAGATTAGAATGCATGAATGCGGCCGATGAGATAATACGCACCGAGGCATGTCAGGTAAACCGACTTGGCCCATTGGATACCGTGATTAAACGTGAATACGATCGCGTCCCGCACGTACTCCTTCCGCATTTCGGACTGCCGGTCCTTGCACTCGGGCTGAGAGCACCGGCGCATTGGGGGGAACAGTGAAATAAAAGCTGAATATTTTAGACACTTGAGTTACAGAGGAAAGAGAGTACTCACAGATTCCTTCACGCCAGCCGCTCTCCATAAACAAATCAGCAAGGGTCACATACTGCTTATTTGCATCCTCCATCCTCCAGATCGTTTGCCGGAAGACGGACCATAGGACCTCGGCCTGGTCGCTTGTAATGCCTAGACACTCGCAGATCCACTCGGCTTGCGTGTCTGGAAGAAACGGCGGGGCTGAACTTTCGGTATCAACATCCGAGGGGTAGGCAAGGGCAATCTCGTCGCGAATGAGACTGCATATATTAACGAAGAGCTGAATTTGATCCGTTGTTATAGGAAGTAGGTGTGGATATGTTTCAAGAACAGATGGAATTAATGATATGTCGAGACTCATGACAGCGGAATAGATATACGGCGTGTAGGGATATAACAGACGTTAATCTAATCTAAGCGCGGCGGCGAGGCGACGCGCGGCAGTCACATCGTGGGATTTTTGTTTTAGCACCGCCACTGACGCCGCGCCGCCCAGCCTGCCGCCGCGACTTGCCGCCTTTCCCAGATCTCGGACTTCT